TATGCTTGCGCACCGAGAAGTGCTCGCAGCGAAGAGCCTCCTGCACCGTCGTGTCCTGGTCGATTCAGAAGTAGTCGAACTCCCTGGCAGAGGTGGGCGTCGCGCAGGTGGTCTGGCCAGAGCAGGCGTGCCTCGCGCCGATGGAGGGCAGCAGCTGCGCCTCTTCCAGCGCGGCGGGGGCCGTGGCCATGTTCCAGTCGGCGCCCGCGACGATGGGCTGGTGCGTAGCCTTGATCATCGAGCCCAAGTTCACCAGCAGGTCGAGGCTGCTGTCGCTAAGGTCTTGGCTCGTGTGCACGTAGGCCGAGACCAGCAGCGCGCCCTCCTTGGAGCCCAGGGATGTCATCCAGAAGCCAAGGCGCGCGGAGCAGCGCACCGAGATGCGGTCGTCAGCAAGCTCGACGCGCTGGAGGTGGACCCAGGGGCGGACCAGGATGCCGACGCCAGCGGAAGTGCCTCCGCTCCCCGTGGCCACCGCAGGGATGAGGTCTGCCACCCAGGCTGCCGCCAGCTGCCGATCCTCTGCGAGGTGGTGCTCCTGGATCAGAATGGCCTGCGCCGGGTCGCCCACGCGCGTGGTCGTCCTCCAGCTGAGTGGGGCATGCGCTCCAGCTGGTGACATTGACTGTCAGGATGTCGAGGTGCGCCGCTCGCTGGCGCCCTGGGCGGCGCTTGGCGCTGCCCTCGTGAGGGGCGAGGCGGGGGGCCCGTGAGCCGTGGGGCCGCTTCCCAGCAGGCGCCTCCCGCGACGCAGCGCTGGCGCAGCTCGGAGAGTGTGCCTCGCCTTGGCGGGGGGCCCGCGCGCCGCGGGGCCGCTCCCCGGCCGCGCCGCCAGCTCCGCCACAGCGCGCGGCGCCATGGGCATCGTGGCCCTCTGGCCGAAAGGGGGGCGCGAGGTGTTGCAGCAAGTCCATCGCACGACGCGGGCGGCCTCGCCTCGGCTAGATCCGCATTGGGGCGGGGGCTCGCGAGATCCTTTCGGAGCGTGCGCTATGGCCCTCGCCCCTCGCGGGTCGACCCTCGGCTCGGCCGCCGTGCGCACGGCGCGCCCGAGGGGCAGAGGCGGCCCGGAAAAAGGTATTCTGATCGCGGGGCGGCGGGGCAGCCCATTTGGCGGGCGGCCCGGGTGTGCCCGGGGAGCCCCGAGGGGCTCGCGATCACACAGGGGGGGGTTTTATGATCGTGGGGCGGCGGGCCGGCCCTGGCGCCGCGGCTGGCCCCGGGCGAAGCAGCGCGGGGGGCCCGCGAGCCCCGGGGCCGCTCCACGGCGGCCACCTCTCGAGGCCACGCGTTGGTGCCGCTCGGCGTGGGCGCGCCATCCTGGCGGGGGGCCCGCGCGCCGCGGGGCCGCTCCCTGGCCGCGCCGCCAGCTCCGCCCCAGCATGCAGCGCCATGAGCATCGCGAGCCTCTGGCCGATGGAGGTCGCGAGGTGGCGCAGCAAGTCCTTCGTGCGACGCAGGCGGCTTCGCCTCGGCGATAGCTGCGTGAGGGCAGGGGCTTCGCGAGTTCCGTTCGGAGCGCCCACTATGGCCCCGGCCCCGTCGGGGGTCGACCCTCGGCTCGGCCGCCGCGCGCAGGCGTGGCGCCGCCGCTCGGCGAGGCGGCGCGGGGGGCCCGCGAGCCGCTGGGCCGCCCCCCAGCAGGCGCCTCTCGAGGCCATGCGCTGGTGCAGCTCGGCGAAGGCATGCCGTCCTGGCAGGGGGCCCGCGCGCCGCGGGGCCGCCCCCCGGCCGCGCCGCCAGCTCCGCCCCAGCATGCAGCGCCATGAGCGTCGCGACCCTCTGGCCGAAGGGGATCGCGAGGTGTTGCAGCAAGTCCAGGTGGCGCCCGAAGTCGGGCCGACGTTGCCGAGGAGCCCTGTGACGAACCTGAAGATGAAGTCCATGGCCCGCGCCTACTTCGCTGGCCACCCCCGTCGCGACCCTGGGGGTGGCACCGCGGGGGGGCAAGGTCCCATTGGGGTGGGCCAGGCCATCGGCCGCCCCCCGTCCTGCGGGCTGCAGGCGGGCAGGCGCGAGGTAGGGCAGGGGCGGCTCCATGTCGACGGGGGTGGCGTCGCCCTGAGACGCCCACGTGCTCGGCTTCCCGCTGCAGCGCGAAGATGTGCTCGAGGAGCTCGCGGGGCCACGCCTCAGGGTCGTCCGCGCGCATGCGCTGCCGCCCATTGACGTGCCTCTCATGTGCTGCGCGTCGACGGCGGGAGGCGGCCGATGGCCACGGCGAGGTCGACGCGCGCCGTGCCGGCGTTGGCGCGCTTATCGCGCTGGGCCGGCTCCCCGACCATCACGCGGGAGCGCGGGTGCTCGAGGTGGCGCGCGACGCGCGGCACGCAGTGCTGGCGCCAGTGGCGGCCGTCGAGCTCCTCGGCCTGCGTAGAGGGATCCGTGATCCAGTGGCCCGTGTAGTACCGCGGCGTTCGTGAAGCTCCCGCCGTCGTCTCGAGCGCAGCGCGCTTCTTAGGGTCCGCATCCTTGGGCTCATGCTCACCCACTGTGCACGGCGAGTCCATGGCCCACTGGATGCCGTGTCCTGCGGCGCCCACGCCGCCGGGGCGACCCCGTCGCGTGCGCTCCTGCCGCTGGGCAGCGGGCGCGGGCGGCGGGGCGTCGGCCCGGGCTGCGAAGGGGGCCTCGCGAGCCACAGACGTGTGCAAACTGTCGCAGCCGTCAAAACTTCCAGGGTCCGAGCTCTGGTCAAATGCTCGGCTCGTCAGCACCCGCGCCCGCTGGGGCGGCGCTGGCGGCCAGGCTCCGCGCCCGCCCTTCGCGGCGCGGCCTCTGCCGGCGGCGGCGCCCTTGCTGGCGGCGGCGGCGGCGGCCAGACGCTGGCGACCAGCCTCCGGTGCGTCAGCCGCGACGAACACGCACCGCGCGGGGGGGCCCTGCCCCGTCGCGCGCGAGAGCAGCAGCGGCGTCGCTCAGGCGCGCAGCGGGGGCCGCGGGCGCCGCGGGGGGCGCCTTCGGGCCAGCAGCGGGAGCGGCGCCTACAGGAGGGGCAAGGGCCGCCTGCGAAGCCGCAGCGGCGGCGGCGCCTGCGGGCTCGGCAGCGCCCCCGCTGCCAGGAGGGGCCCCGGGCTGCTGCTCCTCGGCGTCCTTGGCGGGCGGGGGCGCGCTCTCCGCCGCGCGCTTCTTCTTGGGCTTGAGGCGCTACTGCTGCTCGCGGTGCGCCTTCTCCAGCGCATGCGCCTCCGACTGGAACTGGCCGACGCCTCCTTGGCCATGGTGGCGAACCTGGCCTGGAGTTCCTCGTGTCGCCGCTGCGCCTCCTAATCTCCGAGGGCCTCTAGCCGAACGGGCCCTCGTCGTCCAGCGCCCGCGCCGCCTTGCCCTCCAGGGCCGCCGAGATGCTGGAGGTGGGGGCCGCGGCCTCGTTGGCAGGCGCAACCGACCAGGGCCGTCGCCGCGCAGGTGCAGGCCGCAGCCGCACCTGGGGAGGGGTGGCCTCTGGGCGCAGGCTGCTGGGCGGCGTCGGCGCCGTCGGGGCCGACAGCCGCGGTGCGCCAGGGCGGCGCGCGGGCCGCCCGGCCGCGGTTGGAGGCCCTGCGACCGCCACCCCCAGCTCCGCCAGCGCCACCAGCGCCGCCAGCGCCAGCGCCGCCAGGCTGGCCCAGGGCCAACGGCTTCTTGCAGTGGCCGCACCAACTCCACCACGCCTCGTTCTTGCGGCAGCCACAGTGCCCGCAGGTCTGGCGCGCGCCTCGCCGCCGAGCCGTGGTGGCTGCCCAGCATCGCCGCAGCGACCTCCAGGCGGCAGCGCTTGGCGAGGCGATGGCGACCCCCGAGCAGAGGCGCGCTCGCGGCGGAGGCGCCTGTGCCACGCCGCCTCCGATGGCAGCGCGATTGTCCCCGCCCGACGGGAGCCCGCTGCGGCCTGTCCGCCCCCTGGCCTTCGGGCAGAATCTGCGAGGAGGAGGAGGAGGTGGAGGAGGAGGAGGAGGAGGAAGAGAGGAGGAGGAGGAGGAGGAGGAGGAGCAGCGGGAGGTGGGGGAGGAGGAGGAGGAGGAGGAGGAGGAGGAGGAGGAGGAGGAGGAGGAGGAGGAGGAGGAGGAGGAGGAGGAGGAGTTCAAGGGGGATGGGGAGGACGAGGATGAGGACCGAAGACCGAGGACCGAGGAGGAGGATCGAGCATGAGGAGGATCGAGGAGGGTCGAAGAGGGGGGTTCACGTCTTGATGGTTTCAATAGGCCTCACGGACATTCCGACCCAGGGCTGGCCTTTGATCCCAAGAAGTTTATTCAACCGTTCTGCGGCCCGGTGGTTGCCCCCAGAGGTCGATAACAATTCACTTCGTTTGTATTGCTCCCCAGACAACGAAAACAACGCGGAAGTGGTGCAGAGCTGAGCTACCTGGGCTACCCAGCCGCTCCCTATGCTGCTGGGAGTCGCCACGTGACCTCGCTGCCCTGGCTGGCCAGCCACCTTCGTCCACGGAGAGGCCATCATCTGCGGTTTGCCCGCTTTCAGTCGCCAGTGAAGGGTAGCTTCAGATAATAGGCGGGCTTCTACTCATCTGTTCGGTGTGTGCCTGAAGTCACTCGCGCTCTCTCCATTCGCTGTTTGTCCTCCTCCTCGTCCTCCTCCTCCTCCTCCTCCTCCTCCTCCTCTGTTTTTTTGTTCGTTTGTCGTGTTGGATGTATTGGTGTGGCCGTTTAGGCTTTTCAACATTGGTTAGAACACATCATGGCGTTGCCGCGGGCGGCACAAGACTCCCCAAGAGGACCCAAGACAGCGCGCATACAGATGAGGATGGCCCCAAGACAGCCCCAGGGAGCCCCAAGACATCGCAAGATGAAGGCCCTCGAGGGCTCCGTGACTCTATTTGCTCAAGCGCTGCTCTGGCAGCCTTGGCGGCAGGGTTCCCCCCAAAGCGCCTCGCTCCACCCCTCGAGCTCACAGCGCCCAGCCGATGCAGTGCTGCCTTCCTTCCGCGGGCGGGGCCGCGCAGAGCGGGGGCCGCGCAGCGCGGGGCCGCGCAGCGCGGGGCCGCGCAGACGGCGGTGCCCGTCTCCGCGCCAGGCGGCTCGCGATCCGAGGCCCCTGCGGCGGTCGACGCCGCGGCGGCCGCGTCGGCGGCCAGCGGGGCGGCGGGTGGAGAGTGGAGGAGGGCTCTCCTCCTCCTCCTCCTCCTCGAGTCCACTCCTCCTCCTGCTCCTCGTCCTCTCCCCCTCCTCCTCCTCCTCCTCCTTCCGCCTCCTCCTCCTCCTCTCCTCCTCCTCCCTCCTCCTCCTCCTGCCTCCTCCCTCCTCCTCCTCCTCCTCCTCCTCCTCCTCCTCCTCCTCCCTCCTCCTCCTCCTCCTCCTCAGAGAGAGCTGGCTGCAGGATGCTGTCGCTCGTCACTTCCGTAGCGAAGAACTGCAGCGGGTCCAGCAGCAGCTGCAAGGCGGACAGCACCAGCAGCGACGTCAGCCTCCCCTCCGCCTGGCCCTTCGTCGCCTCGGCGCGCCCGAGCGCCCAGGACCTCCCCTGAGATCCGACGTCGCAACAAAAGCATTAGGACATCGTGAAGAATTGCGACCGGAGCTGGACCCCCCCCCCGTCTTCCGGAGCCTTTCTGCGAGCCAGATCGACCTGCGAGGGCCCTGTGGCCCGAGGTCCGGGCGACGAACACGCTCGGCCCGAGAGAACCGGCGGCGACGATGGGGGCGAATTAGCCCAGGGGCGGGCAGTACGCGCATTCGCCCGGGAGCCTTTTCGAAGACACAGATTCGGAGGTTGATAGGCCTCCTACCCTGACACGTCGATTAGTGAATTGGCCGTTTTCGGCTCGCGAGAGGGCGTCGCGGCCGTTATTTTGGCGGGTCCAGGTCCGTCGGTTTCGGCCCTGGGCCGCTTTCACGAAAGGGCTGTTTACTGAAGGGAGGTTTGTCCAACGCCGATAGATCATCGGCATCATCGGCGTACCTGAATGCACGTGTTGCACTCCCCGGGGCTCTTCGCCCCGATCGTCGCCTCTGAGAGAGTGGGGTCGCCAGGACCTCGGGGCCGTGCGGGAGCAGCGGCTCGCCGGCGAGAGCTCCGACGAGGACGCCGGACCGGGGCCGGCGGGGCAGCGAGGCCCCGCCAGGGGCCGGAGGGCGGCCGGCCTGGCGCCTGGCCGCGAGGCAGTGGCACCCGCAGCAGGCAGCGGCAGGCGGCAGGCGGCGCCGGCGCGGCAGAGCGGGCCCAGGCCCGGCAGGCGCTCAGCGGCAGCAGCGCCCAGGCGTCGGGGGAGGAGGAGGAGAATGTACTCCAGATTTCGTCATAAAAGGGAGGGGGTCTGGACCCTCCAAGACAAGCCATTTCAGACCTCCCAGGCCCTCCAAGATAGCCTGGAAGAGACCCCCCCCGAAATGAGACCCCCCTCCCTGTATTACGAAATCTGGAGTACCCATACCGCTACCCTCGGCCCGATGTTTCGCCAGCTCGCGCTTCCTGGGAGGCCCTCGTCGCCACGGCTGGATGCGCCTCGAAGTCCTGGTCAGAAGGCGCCCCGAGAGATGTCCAGGGAGAGGCGGCATCGGTACCTTCTGGTTTTTGCACAGGCGGCCCAGACCCAGGCCCAGCGACCGGGTGGACCCCCGCAGCATCAGCTGTGCTGCAAAAGGGCGCCGTATCGCCGACTTGGCATCGCTCGGACGTGGGCTGTTCCTATAGCCCTCGTGCCCCCAGGCGCTTCTGGGGCCGAAAGGGGGCTTCGTTCCTTGCTTAGCGTTCCTTCTGGTAGCACCTCGACTGCACGATGGGCTACCAGGATGCTGCCGACACGATCCGTGCAACTCGGCCTTGCCGTATTATGTTGCCGCACCCCTCTGGTCCCCCCCCCGCTCTCTCTCTCTCTCTCTCTCAGTCGCGCTCTCTCTCTCTCTCTCTCTCTCACCCTCTCTTTCTCTCTCGAGCCCCAGAGCTCTTAATTAGCATTCAGGGCATGAGGCTGCTGTTTCCCCCCTCTCCCTCCTTTTCTTCCATTCCCCCTTACACCTCTCTCCCTCCGGCCCTGTTTCACACGAAGATTGTCTTACTTACACGCCAGTCGTTGAAAGTAGGTATTTCTGGATCGTATTTCAAGCGCCTTCCTACTTCAATAATAGATATACTTTTGCTGTGTTTTGTTATTCTCTGGGAGGGCCTGGGCCCAATCTACGTTATCCGCCTTCCTACTTCATGCTTTTACCCACTTTTTTCCGACCGACGTGTACTCTTCTGTCGCTGTCACGAACGAGGGGGAAGCGGATATCTTCAGCACATTGCCCATGCCCGTCAAAGGGTAGAGTGCAGGCCAGACGCCATTGCGCGCTCAAGCTGCCAGTTTCATTCTCATGGGGCATGTCGCAGGCTTGAGATGCGCTCTGGTTTACAGCTCCTGCTGCCACTGCGCGTTTTCCCCGCATTCGCGGAGTACCGCGTCGCAGTGAATGGCATCAGGCCTGTCGCCTGCATTTTCTCGCAACCGTCCCGTGTTGTTTGGTCCTCGCTTTCTCTCCGCAGCGCTACGCGTCTCCTCATCTTCTCTCCGCAGCGCTACGCGTCTCCTCATCTTCTCCTCAATTAGCTTTCCATTTTGATGAATTCTCCAAATAGGCTCGCCCTATAGGCGTCCTAGCTCATCATACGTCATTGGTCTTTAGCCCCCCCCCCTTTTCCAATGGTGCCCCCCCTTATTTCCAATGGCCCCCCCCACCCTTTTGCCAATGGCATCTCCCCTTATTTCCAATTACCCCCAGCTATTTCCAATGGCTCTCCGTACTTGCATGGCTGCTCGCTTCTTTTTGCTCGCTTCATGCTTGGCTTCCTCTTCTCCCGTCCTCTCCTCCTCGTCTTCTCCTTCTCTCGCTCTTCTCCTGTCCATCTATCTATTTGGAGTCAACGCTGGCTGATATGCTGATGTATGCTCCGTTCTGATGTATTGCGAAGGCCTCACGGCCGATGCCGCCGACCCTGCAGACAGCGACGACGAAGACAATGGATGTAGAGGAGTCCAAGATGCCCTCTGATGGCTCGAAGACGGCGCCAGATGCCTGCAAGGTCGTCCGAAGACAGCTCAAGAGGCCTCCTCCAGGGTTCGGGAACGGCTCCAGAGAGTGCCAAGATAGGCAAAGAGCGCCCTCAAGTAGCCCGAGAGGGTTCTCCTCCTCCTCCACTTCCTCGTGCTCCTCCTCCTCTTCCTCCGTCTCCTTCTCCTTCTCCTTCTCCTCCTCCTTCTCCTTCTCCTCTTCCTCCTCCTGTTCTTGCTTCTCCACCTCCTCCTCCTCCTTCTCCTCCTCCTCCTCCTCCTCCTCCTCCTCCTCCTCTCGTTCTTCCTCCTTCTCTTTCCTCCTCCTCCGCCTCGTCTTCCTCCTCCTCCTGCCCCTGTTCCTCTTCTTCCTCGTCCTCCTCCCCGTCCCCTCCTCACCCTCTCTTCCTGCTCTTGCTGCTGCTGCTGCTGCTGGTCCTCCTCCTCCTCCTCCTCCTCCTCCTCCTCCTCCCCTCCTTCTCCTCCTCCTCCTCCTCCCCTCCTCCTCCTCCTCCTCCTCCTCCTCCCCTCCTCCTCCTCCTCCTCCTCCTCCTCCTCCTCCTCCTCCTCCTCCTCCTCCTCCCCCCCCCTCCTCCCACGATTGTCGTTTTCGCCGTCGTTCTCCTCATGCGGGGGAGGATAACCCGGAAGATGCTTGTAAACGTTCGGGGGGCGCGTGTCCATTGGCGTCGTAGCTGGCCTCGATGTAAGCGTAAGCCTTTCAGATAAGTTTCATGCATGAGACTTTCGTATGCGCTTGCGTCGGTGTCGGAGCTGGCCTAGGTGTCAGCGTAAGCCGTTCAGAAAAGGTTTATGCATGAGCCTTTCACGTGTGCTTGCGTGGGCGTCGGAGCTGGCCTTCCTGTCAGCGTAAGCAGTCCAGAAAAGTTTCATGCATGGAAGCTTTCGCGTGAGCTGGCGTTGGCGTCGGAGCTGGCCTTGGTGTCAGCTTAAGCCGGTCAGAAAAGTGTCATGCATGAAACTTTCGTGTGCGCTTGCGTTGGCGTCGGAGCTGACCTTCGTGTCAGCGTAAGCCGTTCAGAAAAAAATCATGCATGATTTTTTTGCGTGCGCTTGCGTTGTCGTCGGAGCTGGCCTTGGTGCCAGCTTAAGCCGTTCAGAAAGTTTCACGTATGAAACTTTCTTGTGCGATTGCGTTCGCGTCGGAGCTGGTCCTGGTGTCAGCTAAAACCGTTGGGAAAAGTTTCATGCATGAGACTTTTGTGTGTGCTTGCGTTTGGCGTCGGAGCTGGTCTTGGTGTCCGCGGAAGCCGTTCAGAAAAGTTTCATGCATGAATAGTTTGTGTGTGCTTGCGGTGGCGTCGGAGCTGGCCTTGGTGTCAGCGTAAGCCGTGCAGAAAAGTTTCATGCTTGAAACTTTCGTGTGCGCTTGCGTTGGCGTCGAATCTGGCTTTGGTTTCGGCGTAAGCCGTTCCGCTCGCTGGTTTTATTTGGGCTTACTTCACTCATATTCCTTCTGGGTCTGCTTAGCCTGAGCTTTTGCTAGGGTTATTTTGTCGGATGATTGTTCTTCAGGGATGTTTGATTCAATATTTGTGTACCAGATTGTCCTGGGAGGTTCTTGGGTTTATTTGGTCCGTTGTGTCGCTCAACAGGATTTGCGAAAGCGCCGTCACGGACTCTCTGCGTACCTCTCTTTTTTCCCTCCTTTGCGAGAGCGCCGTTACGGACTCTCTGCGTACCTTTTTCTCCTGTGCAACCCTGAGAGCGCCGTTATGGACTCTCTTTCTCTGTCATCTTTGATCTACTAGACCTCTCGTGGCGCCATGCGGGTTTATCTCACCGGTCCTCCCGTTCAAGGGCGCCGTGCTACAGTGGTTCTCGTTCGCTGCGTGCTTTGTCGCAGGTTTCGCCAAGAACGGGTGGCGCTCCAACTCCTCGACGCGTTTGTTGTTCTCTCTTGAGAAAAAATCGGCGTGGATGCGAGAGGACAAACATGTAGGTGCCCGGCGACCTGGTATGCTGGCCTTGGAACACTGGTCGTTGGATCTGAACATGGCTGACGCTACCGCAGCTATGAAATCTTTCGCAGCCGTAGTTGTAGACTCGCGAGCTCAGCGTTCTTCGAGACTTTCGCCGTTTCTAAAGGGGGGTCTGGGGGGGGAGCGCGCGGGATCGCCTCGCCATCGGGGACCTGTCGGATTCCCAAAATGAGTGTTTCGCTCGGGACATCCTCACAACATCGTGAAATTGGGGGTCGTATCTTAAGACGCATTTTGCTAAACATGTGCGTTTCGCTCGAGACACCTCGCCATCGGGGCCAAAATGAGCGTTTCGCTCGAGGCATCCTCACAACATCGTGAAGTTGGGGGTCGTATCTTAAGACGCCTTTTGCTAAACATGGGCGTTTCGCTCGAGACATCCCCCAAACATGGAGATTTTGACATCGCTCGCCTAATTTTCGAGTCCTCGAAATCCTGGTCAGAAGGCGCCCCGAGAGATGTCCAGGGAGTGGCGACATCGGTACCTTCTGGTTTTTGCACAGGCGGCCCAGACCCAGGCCCAGCGACCGAGTGGACCCCCGCAGCACCAGCTGTGCTGCAAAGGGGCGCCGTATCGCCGACTTGGCATCGCTCGGACGTGGGCTGTTCCTATAGCCCTCGTGCCCCCAGGCGCTTCTGGGGCCGAAAGGGGGCTTCGTTCCTTGCTTAGCGTTCCTTCTGGTAACACCTCGACTGTACGATGGGCTACCAGGATGCTGCCGACACGATCCGTGCAACTCGGCCTTGCCGTATTATGTTGCCGCACCCCTCTGGTCCCCCCCCCGTTCTTTCTCTCTCTCTCTCTCGCTCTCTCAGTCGCGCTCTCTCTCTCTCTCTCACCCTCTCTTTCTCTCTCGAGCCCCAGAGCTCTTAATTAGCATTCAGGGCATGAGGCTGCTGTTTCCCCCCTCTCCCTCCTTTTCTTCCATTCCCCCTTACACCTCTCTCCCTCCGGTCCTGTTTCACACGACGATTGTCTTACTTACACGCCAGTCGTTGAAAGTAGGTATTTCTGGATCGTATTTCAAGCGCCGTCCTACTTCAATAATAGATATACTGTTGCTGTGTTTTGTTATTCTCTGGGAGGGCCTGAGCCCAATCTACGTTATCCGCCTTCCTGCTTCATGCGTTTACCTACTTTTTCCGACCGACGTGTACTCTTCTGTCGCTGTCACGAACGAGGGGGAAGCGGATATCTTCAGCACATTGCCCATGCCCGGCAAAGGGTAGAGTGCAGGCCAGACGCCATTGCGCGCTCAAGCTGCCAGTTTCATTCTCATGGGGCATGTCGCAGGCTTGAGATGCGCTCTGGTTTACAGCTCCTGCTGCCACTGCGCGTTTTCCCCGCATTCGCGGAGTACCGCGTCGCAGTGAATGGCATCAGGCCTGTCGCCTGCATTTTCTCGCAACCGTCCCGTGTTGTTTGGTCCTCGCTGTCTCTCCGCAGCGCTACGCGTCTCCTCATCTTCTCCTCAATTAGCTTTGCATTTTGATGAATTCTCCAAATAGGCTCGCCCTATAGGCGTCCTAGCTCATCATACGTCATTGGTCTTTAGCCCCCCCCCTTTTCCAATGGTACCCCCCCTTATTTCCAATGGCCCCCCCCCACCCGTTTGCCAATGGCATCCCCCCTTATTTCCAATTGCCCCCCCAGCTATTTCCAATGGCTCTCCGTACTTGCATGGCTGCTCGCTTCTTTTTGCTCGCTTCATGCTTGGCTTCCTCTTCTCCCGTCCTCTCCTCCTCGTCTTCTCCTTCTCTCGCTCTTCTCCTGTCTATATATATATATATATATATATCTATTTGGAGTCAACGCTGGCTGATTATGCTGATGCATGCTCCGTTCTGATGTATTGCGAAGGCCTTACGGCCGATG